CTGACATCGTAGTTGATCGATTAAATTGGGTTAAACATGAGAAAAATTAATAGAGTTGAAGATTAAATCTGTTAAAAGAAACTTTTGTTTGAAACCTGTCAACACAGTAAAAAAGTCTCAAAAAAGTGAATCAGCATAACCGGTTATACAATAAAATCCAATCGGTTTAGTATTCTCGGTATCCCGAGCGGTCGCAAAACGCCAAAAATCAGAGAGATAAACGAGAGAAAAATCGCGATCAAATACTTCTTCAGCGACCAAGGCTTAACATTTTTCTTCTCCTCTCCGGCCACATCAGTAGTATTGTCTCTAATGGTGAGATTAGTGTTTCGTTTCACAAAGGTACTTAGTCAAGAAGAATTGATTGGGAGTTTTCTGCAAATTTCCTATTTTGAATCTGTTTTTCCTGCGTTTGTGATGATGATTTCTGGATTTATGCTTCGTTAAGTTCATGTGAATTTAGCTTTATCTGCTTTGGAAACTGGTTATTTTATAGTGAAAAGGGTTTCTTTTAGGGTTTCGTATGGATAGAATCAGTAGTTTACCAGATGAGATTATTTGCCACATTGGGTCTATCCTTTCCGCAAAGGAAGCTGCTTTCATGATTGTTCTCTCGAAGAGGTGACGAAATCTGTTTACCATCATTCCAAAACTTCATTTTGATGGCGATGAAGAAACGGGTTTCGAGGATTTTGTGGATAGAGTATTGGCTTTACCAGTCAATTCTCGTATAAGGACATTCTCTCTAAAATGGAACCATTCTCAATATGATCATATCAACCGTTGTCTCTGCGATGTGGTGTTTTGGTTCTTAAACTTGCGGTAGAAGTTGGCAGACAAGGAGGATATTCACTGCCTCTTGAAGTTTTTACTTGCAAGACGGTTGTTAGAATGGAATTAGGGTCTGTTTTCGCTATCGACATTCTCCCTGCGGATGCTTTTCTTCCATCGCTCAAGACTCTCTTTCTGGATACTGTTCGGTTTTATGATTTTGGTGGTCGGTGTGCGTTCCAAACGCTTCTGTCTGCGTCCCCTGTGCTTGAGGAATTAGTTATAGATGGTATTGAGTGGGAACGCTGGAAATGGTCGGGCGCTGTGTCCAGTCCGACCCTTCAAAGACTTACTATCCGACGTAAAGATTGGTATGCTTATGAATATGCTGACAATGCTGATGGGAGGGACGCTAGATTGGATTGTCGGGGTTTTGCCTATGATTTTGACAGCATTAGTGTGGATACTCCGGGTCTTACCTACTTAGAGTACTCTGATTATGTTCCTAAAAAATATCTAATTGTCAATCTCAACTCCCTTGTTGAAGCTAAGCTCAATCTTGGTGTGGACGATGCGGGTGTATGGGACAACTCACACAGAGGTGATTTCGATCCAATGAATCTGATTAATGGGTTAAAGAATGTTGAGATTTTGGATGTAACTATTGAAACTGTGGAGGTAATTGTTTTCTTTCTCTTTGATATGCTACTGCAACTTCATACATAAATAAGAACATGAAGATAAGTTTATATTTAAGAACCATTGAAGTATAAGAATCAAAATCTTACTATATTTCAAATGCTTCTTGAGGTTTTAATCCATAGGTTGCAACTGATTGGTTGATTTTCTTATGTTTCAGATGATTTCTGTCTTCCAGGAAGCAATCCCAGTCTTTGAAAAGTTGTTTCAGATATCTCTTGACCTTCCTAACTTCCATTGGTTTTCTCTACCAATTCTGATAAAGAAATCTCCAAATCTAAAGACTCTCATCTTGGAGGTATGACCAAAACCCCAAAATGTTCATTGGACAAACAAAATATTGAGAAACCATATAAGTACTCATAAATCTTGAATCTCAAATATTTCCATTTGTTTCAGGATTGCTTGCACTATGATAAACCAGAAGATGGATATCTTTGCCAGTGCGTGTCAGAGTATTCTTTTCTGTCGTCCTGTTCTGTGGAGATCCTAAAGATAAACGGTTACAATGGAAGTATCAAAGAGCTGACGCAAATTAGGCATTTCTTGGAGAAATTGACATGCCTTGAGCTGGTGGAAGTTAATGCCCAAGTATCAGGTAACAAAAAGCTGCAAGTCTTGGAGGATCTACTAATGCTTCCTAGAGCTTCGTCCAAATGCAAAATCCAAGTCAAGTTTTCTCCAAAGCGTTCCTAAGGGCAAACTCTAATCTTTCCTACTTTTGCTCAAATCTGTTGCTTAACATTCTAGTCTATGGTTAGTACTAGAAAAGGTAATTTGTTTGATGACATAAGAACTGGTTTGTTTTGTATCTTTCATATATCTGATAACTCTAAGCTACTATCATTCACCGAACAAATTAATATTATAACGGTTCCATTACATTTCTCAAACCACTTTCTCTCATTTCCCTTATAACCAATCAAATCAATCATCTTTATCATCTAAACTAGCAGCAGAAGAAGAAGCTTCCTCTAACTTCTTTCTCTGGCGAGCTTGCATCCGTAGGAATCTGATCTCCGTCTCTAACAGCCATCAATGAGCAAGTTCCTGGCGATTCTGGTGGTAACACTGTGTTTTCCGACGAGAATACACGTTTAATCGATGGAGCAACAAGTTCAGGAGCTGAGACTGTGGAGAGGTAACGTAGAAGCATTTGAATAATCTCTGTGAAGTTTGGTCGCTCGTTTGGATCTTCTTTCCAGCAAGATGTTACAATCATTGCTAAATCCCCCGGTAGATCGTCTGCGCTTGGCCTCACATTCTAACCAGAAATATAAAAACAGACAACACTCTGTTAAACAATGTCCGGTTAAAGAACCAGGTTCATCCATATTTCGTTTGATAATCAAGAACCAAACGGTTTGAAAATATAGAACGGCTGAAGAGCAAGAATCAAAGGGTTTCTAATCAAGAACCAAATGGTTGGAAATCAAAAACCAAACGGTTAGATATCAAGAACCAAACTTTGGAATCAAGAATCAAATGGTCGCAAATCAAGAAACAAACGTTTCACTATCACAGTTCAAACTTTGAAATCAAGAATCAAACCTTGAATGCAGCGGCGTAAGCAGCTTGGAGATTCGACATGCCTTCGAAAGGTAACTTGTTGTGAATAAGCTCCCACAAGACGATGGCGAAACTGTACGCATCGACCTTATGGTTATAGTGTTTTTTCTCACCGTGCCTCAACGTGACCGTACTATAAAGCTGTTTAACCATAATTTGGTGTTAAGCAAAGTTTAGAAGGTAAAAGACAAGGGCAGAACACAGAAAATGAGTACCTCGGGAGCCATCCAACGATATGTTCCAGTCTCGGCAGTCATCATCTCGGTTAGTGATTCTTCTCTAGCTAAACCGAAATCTGATAGCTTAACAGTCTTGTAATCCGCAGTTAAGATCAAGTTCTCTGCAAGTGCAAGAAATTATAAGACCAAGATTGTAATTTTCTTGACAACAACTACTTGTAATTTCGGTTTTATCTGTTACCTGGTTTGAGATCACGATGAATGACTCCATGAGAATGTAAGCATTCCATTGCCCGAGCAATATCAAGAGCAAACCCAACAGCTAAACGAGTCTCCAAACGCCCTGGACGCAAACTGACAAGGTATTTACGCAATGTACCACCGAGTAAAAGCTCGGTGACTATAACCATGATTGGTTCTTTGCAAGCTCCAATGAACTACAACCAAAAATCCAAATCAAAACATTTAGTGTTGTGTTCACTAACCAAACTCTCTAGCCATATGAACCAGCAATTCGATAAAATAAAATAAAAAAGACCTTGACCAAATTCTTGTGTTGAACTCTAGACAACATAGAAACCTCCCTCGCAAACCTGCTCTCTCTTTTCGCAATCTCTTCCGGAGATTCTCCTCTTTTAACAATCTTAATAGCAACTGTTTTGTTTTTATACCTAAACAAGAAAAACAGCATTTCCATCAATCCCAACACTTCTCATCAACAGTAACATCTGTCAAAATTCCATCTCCATGATTGAACTTGGTCGACTGATTCACACTAAAGTTCTTTGAAAATGTTGATACAAAATAACAACTTTGATCCCTAACGATATGCAAAAGACTAAATCTTTTTCAGCAAAAAAGTTTTCTATTTTTTTCACATTTGCAAAGAGTAAATTTTGCAAAGTCTCAACTTCTTTATTTAGACACAAGTCATAACAGATCAATAACGGATTAAGAACCATAAAATGAAGGAAAAATTGAAAAGAAATAAACTTACTTTCCTTCATAAACTTTGGCATGAGCTCCTTCACCAATCTTTGGACCAACAAAGAGATGATGAGGATCAACTACCCATTTAGGATCCAATTCAAACACTTGATTTGAGTAAAATTCAGTTACAGATCCCATTTTCCAAAAAAAAGTTGAGATTTTTCTTAATTAGAAACTTGTCAAATCTAGACCCTTTTGATGATCAATAATCATTCTTGGTACAATCAGAAAAGAAACAAAGATGCTTTTTGAGGTTATAAAGCGAAATCAAGAGACTTCCATAAATAT